TCTTCCTCGTTTGAGCGTACTAGTTGAACACTGACTCGCTTGCAGAGATTCTCGATGGTTTTCCCAAAGACGCTGTTGTTCATTAGCTTGTACAGGTCTTTCTCAAAGTCACTGCTTGCTTTTTTGTGGAGGTCTGTGTTTATCCTAATGTAGGGTTCCATCCAAGGGCTCTGCTTGAATTTCAAGGCCCGGTGAATCTTCTTCAGGTGCATGCCAAGAGACAGATAAAGCTGAAGGTTGCAATAATGTAGCACATAGCATTCCTTCTTACGGAGGTTGGGGACCAGTTTTTCAACTTTGGTAGATGCCATGCCTTTGCCAATGAGTTTGTGCTGGTACTCTGACATCCACTCTTTCTGAACCACTATGCGCTCCGGGGCCAGTGGGTAGGCATTGTGCATGTCATAGAGCTCTATAGGGTATTCCAGGTCCACCTCAAGGATGTAACCCTCTGGGCTGTCTGCTGGATGGTTCACTATGGTTTCCTCCAAACAATGCAAATACTTTTCCCACTTGAAGCCACCTGTAGGAAGAGGCTGACTCATGGCCCATCCGTATAGGTTATTTGCATCCAGGTACATGATGTAAATATTTGGCTTAGAACTGCCGTAGCTCTCTATTAGTGGGTTGTTGGCTTCTGCATAGCGCCTTGAGACCATGGAGATACTATCCTGTTTCCCTTTCTCAGTGAAGAGGTGCTGGTCATGGTCTGTAAGCAGCTCCAGCTCCATGTCAGTCTTTTTTAGCAGTGTATCCCAAGAAAGCCTGAGCTCGAATAATAGTGGGCAGGGTCTAGACCAGTGGTCCCCAACCCCCGGTCCGCGGACCGGTGCCGGGCTGTGGAGTACCTGGCACCGGGCCGCGCAGCGGCCGGGGGCCATGATCGCTGCAGCGGCCGGGGGCCATATTTGCAACTTTGTAGTCCTCATGAATGCGCCCTTTCTCAGCCCCCTCCCGCCGCCCCAGATGTGCGGGGCTGGGGGGGCGAGGGGAAGCCCGATCTCCCCCCCCGCCCTCTTGCTCTGCTCGCCCCGGGAGGGAGGGGGCGGCGGCCTCG